GGTTTTCAAGATGAGACTGGATGTGGCACTTAGTGCCATGGTCTAGTAACCATGGTAGGGTTGGACTTCATGATCTTGGAGGTCTTTTCCAACCCAGTTGATTCTATGATTCTAAGTTTTATCCACATAGACTATCTCTGCACCATTGCCACTGGAAAAATGTCCAGGAAAGATGTGATAGTGCATCTAGCAAGATGGTAATTTAGAAAGACTGTCAGCCAAAACCATAATCTATCAAACTTCTATTTAAGCTCAAAAATGGAAAACAAGTGAACATGCCTTTAATTCATAAATTTCTCTCAAAATCTCTTCAATCCTTCTGCTGATCAGGAAAATCTTTGATTCTGTATTCATTGTTCTTGAACAACTACTGTCCAAAGCTGCTTAGTATTCCAGAGACTCTAGTCAGAGCCTCTGCTATGGGAGCAAGCAGCTAGGAGTAGAGAGTTCTGCTGGACACTCTTCAAATTCAGATCTCACTCATCTATAACTCAAAGCAAATCATTCTAGAGACTCAAGGTATTCTATGCTATAAACCTTTTCTGGAGGCTTTGAAAAATCAAGGACTGGAAAAAAAAGTATTTTTGTAGTGAAAACTTATTCACTTCTTTCCCACACAACATTTTGGTATGAAAATATTTTAGCCAAAGTACTGTATCTTCTGCACTCATTAACAGCTCCATCAGAGACTCTCAATCTTCACTGCATATTTTCTAACTTGCTTGAATTCTCTGCTCAGAACATCTTTAGCTTAGTTTCAAAATTCCAATAAGAATTTTACAGAAGTCTCAAAAATCCTACAGAAATTCCAAAATACTACAGAACCTTTCCCTCTCACAAGCACTCATATTTTGTTACATATAATGAAAAAGGATCAAGAGCTGCATCAAATAATTCCATTATACATTCTATTATTCAACATTTAAAAGCTCAACAAACAACTCTGGTGACTGCAAAGACTGTCTTGCTTACCTAGCAGTCTATGACACACTGCACAAATAACATAGGCTCTGCCTCTACACACACTATCTGACTCTTGTATAGCTTGGCCTTAAACTCTAACAGCTGTTCACATCCTGAAAATTACTCCATTAACTCCATCCATCAATCTTCCT